TTCGAAAGACTTTATGAATGGTATCCTTTTTTGTATTCTAAATGTTGAGAGGAAAACGTTTTGTTAATGTAATAAATTGAATTTCAGTCATGTAATTATTTCCTCATAAATAAATTGAAAATATTTATTTGTTTTACAAATCACATGTTTCTAATAGCTTGTCAGAATGGGTGATTATTTTCTCACCTACAATTATGTTTCGATTGTTAATAATGTTACCAAAATATGAACAAATTAGCATTAAGCGAGGCAAAATAAAGGAAATTTATTCATATTTTTCAATCTAGTAAATGTACGCATATAATATAAAGTTTCAATTTACACTTTCCTTTGGGGCACAGAATCAAGAGTACACACGGACTACAGAATTAACATTTGTGTTTATAATTGTAATATGTTATTGTGAGAATCGCAGGGGGTCAGAGTTTAATCCCTTCTGATCTCTTAATCTGCACGGGATACTAAAATCCGATCTCGAGGTCGTTGTATGACTAGGAGGGCGAATCGAGTGGGGAGTGCGTCGGTAAGTTGGCAAAGGTCCGTGGACAAACAAAAGACAGGCTTTAACATAACAAAACTATCGAAATTTCAATGCCGATACCCGTTATTGGATGGCGAGATAACGACGAAATGTAATTTCGGAAGAAAATCTAAGACGATTTACGGAAGAATAATATACTTTTAACAAATTCGTACGAGGAAGCCGTTTTAGACAGACATAAATTTCGGGGCGACGCGACAATAAAACTCTGACAATTTGTTGCGAGCGGTCGATTATTGTTCTTGCGAACGGTTGAATTTTTGGTTCGTGCGATTTAAAGTCATTGATTTCGAGCGTTTTTTTTACTTTTTCGTTATTTGCAGTGATTTTATCGGTAAGTTGAGACTACGAACTTTATTAATTTCAGCATTTTTTAACATTGTTAAGCTCCGAATATCATAATGAGTGGCAATGATTTTCCGACAAAGCTCCATTTAGATAACAATTGATGGGTTTGGTAACAGAGACGACGAACGGTGTCTCCACTTATTTTCGAAGTTACTTTTCACCCTTTTAATTGTTAATTTTCGTTTAGATCTAGTAAATTCAATGGAAATTGTAAAAGAAAAACAAGAATTAATAAATACTTGAAATTGATATTTTCCGCTATGGTTTATATACACATTATATTCCGTACAAAATTCACACCTCTATACTCTATACTTTAATAAATGAAGATTTCTTTATTTTCAGAGATATTTTGTGTTCAGGCAATATGAAATGTTTATTATAATGAAAACGATCATTTTCTATAATCTTCTATTATAAATCTTTATTGAATTTTAAAATGAATTTTACATAAAAATGTATAAATTTCTTACGTAGAATTTTTAATTAATGCAAGTTCTGTTTTCACAACATTCGCTTATTTTTCTTTGTAGGATGAATAATTTCAAAGAATTGAAGAAGTGGCATACCTCGGGCTATGCAGAGCCCGAGGATGAGGTCTCGTCTTCACCTCGTGTAATCTTTCGGAAGCACGGGTGCTTCCGAAAGATGCGGAGGAGGAGTTGCGTACACTCGACGTCAAACGGGTGGTCGTCGTAACTCCGGACGACAGCGCTTCGTTTCTCGTTCATTATCTAAATCGGCGATATCCGGAAATTCCAGAATGGACGGTGGAGACACGATCAAGTGAGACGGGATTAAACAGAAAGGAGTCCGAAAAAATGGTGGAAGAATCCGTCGAGCGTAAGAGGCCTCGGTGGAAAAGGTTGCTGCTGGAAGACATAAACCTTTTCTCTGCCCAGGCCTTCCTGTCCGGATTTCGACTTGTCACCGAATGTGACACAGCCACCCGGAATTGACCTTTCACCCGGCTACGACTAATCAACTGGACTCGACTCTCCATCCCGATTTACGGACGGATTCTTCGACAGCATTAGAGATTTATTCCTGCACTTTGGTTAAAGTGCATAGAACAAAGATAGTAGCCTGACATTAAGGACTGTTTTCGTCTTTAATTAATAAAAGATTGTTACGTCGTTGTTTAATCCTTTGAGTCCCAACTCCAGTTTATTTAATATTCCTTCCAGCGTTGCATGATTTGGCTACTTTGCGCCAAAGTTGGCTATTCTTTGTTTAGTTTTGCGTAAAAAATATCATTTGGCGCATTGGCTACTTTTTGGGCTACATATTATTTATAAATATATTAGACGAATAAAAATGCACTTTAAAATGGTGTTTTGTCATTTGTTTTTAATTAGACACCCAAATAAAGCAAATATTTTTCAAATAAATTTTTGTTTGTCTCCTTTATAATAAACGAATTTATCTATTTCTAAGTAAAAACTGAAAGTGTCTATAGAAGTAATTATTTAAAATATCCTTTTTCCTGATAAAGATTTAATACTTATTACTATAATCTAGACAAGTTAATCCTGAAACATACAAGTAAATTTAAGAATTGGGCCACAAGTATATATAATATACTTGTGGCCCAAAACTCCACGACATCTTGCAATGTGGACCATAGAAACAAAAAGGTTGGACACCCCTGGTTTAGAATATATAATAATTTCATAATTTCAATTATCAAAAATATATAATGAAAATACACTTTTTACAGTATTATACAGTATTTAAAAAAAAAAAAAAACTAGTAGTAACGTTCGGTTCCGACTATACCATACTCATGGAACTTATGGTCTTCGTGGCACTACTTAGTCATCGCGGTTGTTAATCTATATTAGTTGTATGGAGTTAATTACACTGTAGAAGACACGATTGGGTAAGCAATTATTCTTGATGCAATTACTAACGCATCTACATCTTATGCGAAAGTTGAGGGATTCAAACCCGATAGTATTTCGTGCACGTTATAAATAAATTTAAAGTAAATTATTTAAATTATTGAATTTAACACAAGTTGATGAAATAATCTGTCACTTTATTCTAAATTCATTTATTTATTCATTAGCCCGAATGCAATGCGGTGACAGTTGGTCTATTCCATATATTACTGCCTTAATTCATTGATACAGGGGAAAGTGTTTCGAAGTTTTTGGTCAGTCATCAGTCCCGTGGCGAAAAGAACTTGTAAATAACATATATCCGGTTACAATCTATAAATTTCTTCCTTCAAATAGTCTTCCTTAGACTAGAATGTAGGCTCTACGTTTTTTTCTGTGTTAACTTCGTGTCTAGTTGTTTGTTTACAAGTTCTATTGTCAGCAATCAACCTCTATCTTAAATAATAGACTGGTAATTTAATTACGACCGTTTTAATAAGTCTAGTATTTATGTGAAATTAAAGTCTTTACTAATAGTGAAATGGAAATTTAATTTCAGAATTCCAAGGTTCTTGCCAAAGAAAATGACGTTTAAATGTTTTAAATATTCAGAATATTTAACTAACTATTATTCTACTACTTAACGAGTTATGTAATCTAATATTCTAAATATTTTTTTGTAGATTAATGTGGAAAAGAATGAGGTCGTGGACATAAAGGGTAGATGATAAAGGGTATTCAACGAGAGTGGTGTGACGAATGCCGTATTTACTGTGCGCGTGATCGAGTTAATATTTAACTTGTATTTATATGGATTACATTGTTTAAAAGTTTACAGTCAATACATATTTAAAATGAAATTAAACGCCGTGTTTATAATAAACATACAAAGCACTAATAAACATGTTTGTGTGTTTGAAAAAATTCCTAGAATAATTTGCTATCTGCATAGTCGAAATTGTAAATGATATCTATTCACACTGTAAAAACGTCATATTAAAATAACGAAGGAAAGTAATCTCTAAAGATAATTTGTGCGAAAATTTATTTCGAAACATGCAATTTTTCTTCAGGTAATATTTTTCTTTATATTAAAAGTATTAACTTATCTATTGCAGAAATGTTGTCATTATATGCTAAAAATATATATAATTTTTTAGGAAGAGCATACATTAATTGTTGTATTATTAGAAATCCTTTAAATAGCCGACTGAATGAAAGAAGTAAATATAGAAAGGTTACTTATTACACATCCTGCCTATTTAATTATTACCATATACTATGTTTTTTGTACATCATTCAATTGACAAAGGCAGTAAGGCCAAAATACATTTTGGTTTAGTTAATTAAATAGGTTGGGTGTGTAATAAGCCTGTTTATTAGTCATAACTAAGTAGATTGTTGTAATTAAATAATACAGGAAAGAAGCGTTTTAATATGTGGGAAGGTCAGTGTTTTAGTATTTCGCTAGGGAATGTTTCACTACTTTATGATTGAAATATTTCAAAAATAAGATAGTTTTAAACATTATTTTCTACATTACTCATTAAGTGCATTTCGTTCTCTGTGTTCGTACAAATAAGGAATGCTTCTAGTTTTTCAAAATTACGAAAGTTTTACATTCGTTTACGTATGTAGTTATTGAGAAATCAGCAGTATCTCGGTAAGCTGCAGATCGTTTTCTCAATTCGACGAATCTTTGTCGACTCTATGCACTCACTCCGAAACGTTGTCAATACAGTGATGTGTTCTGAATGTTACTTGCATTCAGCAAACGTAATGAAGTACATTTTGTACTTTCGTTCTCCTTTCCCAATTCGATGAGTGCAGAAAGAATAGAGTAAATACTGCTTAGCATCTAAAAGGAAAAAACCACCGGGCAGAAATTCCAATGGGTGTTTTCCCGAATTATAACAGTAAAAGGCTGGAAAATACATTTCGAGTTGGTTATTAACGTTTCGAACGTCTTCCATTAATTATGTATGTTCTTCGATTATGTGTAGGATTAGATCTTCGATGTTGCTTTTTTCGGGAGGAACTACATCGAGTTTGCTCGACAATATGTTTAAAATCCATTAAACAAAACGAGTAAATAATTATAAACAAGGAATAATATGTAAACAGTTTGTCCTACTAATAAAAATAATGATAATGCCTAATAGATATTGCAGAAAAGGAATTCCATTACTGTTGCCTTTTCCATGGTAAAGTATAGAGAAAAGTCAAACATGAAGTAAGATGTCACTTGCAATAAAGGAGTGACTGCGAAGAAAACTGCAAATTGAAATTCTATGAAGTTAATTAACGCTTCCTTCTGACTGAGACATAAAAATTGTCCATTGTTCGGAGGTGGTGGTTGATTACAGGTGATTATTCGAACAAAAAATGCATATAAAGTCTTTGAAAAAAATGGCCGTTATTGAAGGTTCAGCTGTAATTTAGTGAAATGTTCAACTCATTTCACGTTTCAGCTAAAGAATGAAAATCTGTTACGTTCTAAATTTTACCATTTAACTGTAATAATATTCTGATCATTCAGTTTAATATCAATCTAATTACTAAGGACTGTAGACGAATTTTAGTATAGCCAATGATTAAAATATTGTAGACCTTCCTTACTGTGAAAAAATAAACAAAATCCTGCTTTAAATAAGAATATATTATACAAAAATTAATTCGAAGCATCAAAACAAAATTATCAAATTGTAAACATCGATAAATAAATGAGATACTTTATAAATGCTTAACATCTAAACAGGGGACAGTTTTTTCCATTCACACCACCAGAGAGATATTTCCCTGTTAGCATATCTCCGCGTGTTGTTGTGTTGACTATCTCACCACTATACTCCACTAAAACTGTTATAACACGCATATTTTCCATTTAAGAATGTATTTTCTAAGTGCATTAAGTTATTAATAGCATTTTTCATGTAGTGAATATCGAAAATTAATTAATGTTTGATATGTTAGGAACGTTTCATCGTGATAACCGCAGGCATTTAACGGGCTGTGACGATTGAGTTAACAAGCATCACACTTGTAGTATTCTCCTCTTGCTTCCAAGACTTCCAGAAACGTTGTGAATTATATATAGATAGCCAAGGAGACTACTTTGACAGGACCTAGGATCATTACTTTGTAATTTCAATTTTCTATTTTTTATGCGCTTTGTCCTGAAACTTTTCTGACAAAGAATGTAATTTAATTCGTAGATTAATAATTAAAAACACATAAAATTGCCTGGAGGTAACTTTCCTGAATCAATTTCGTGAGTTAATCATTAAATTTTTTTATCTATATACAGTTGTACCTCAGGATACGAAATTAATCCGTTCCGAAACTGAGATCGTATCATGAAAATGTCGTAAGGTGGGTTATTTTTCCCCATACGATTACATGTAAAACCAAATAATTCGTTCCAACACGAAAAACATACTGAAATTAAAGCTAAGTAGTACATTAAAAAAATATAATTTCAGTAAGGAAAACATTAAAAAATGCATTTTGTAGTTGTATATGTATAAATAACCATAATAGAATAATAATTGATTAAAAAAAAATGTAGTTTTATTTGCACTTTACCTTTGAGGATAGATGACGGTGGAGGTGTAAACTGGTGGCGGAAGAGAGGGAGAAGGGAAATGATACTAAAACTTAACTTACATAACATAATGTAACAATAACTTAAAAATAACTTAGAAAAGATAAAAAATTAGTGTTGTTTTATATATTTATTTTTAAATTTTTATTCAGTGCTTTTTGCTTTCTTTCCTTCACTTCCACCAGCACTTTCAGTGGATAGAGGTCGCTTGGTAAAATATCTATCCAATGAGCTTTGCCTACTTTTTAAAATGTTTCTAAAATGACTTTGGCAAATGTCATTACTCCGAGCAGCAATACGGCCAGTGTGAACCTTTGCGGGATGTTTCTTTTCAATAAAATCAGTCACTTTCTGATAATACCTCAAGATTTCCTTTATTGAGTGAGATCCTTCCACGACGAAGCAAACACGCGGACTAAGACCAATGAACAGAAGTGAATAAAAAATGGCGCTGCGAACTAATGTAACGTCGTATGGTGAGTTTTTGTTCGTATCGTGGAGNACTGTTTTCGAAAAGTTTTGAAAACGTTTCCCATTGAAAAACCATTATATTTAAACCCTATCTGCGTGAATTGGCAGAAATAACCAAACAAGTTATAATAAGCTTTAAAATCATATTTATTTATTTATTTTAATGTTTACGTATAAATTAATTTATTTTACTTTAGTATTGAAAGTCAAGATTTATATGGAAGAGTCGGTAACCTTAATAAATACCAGGGACGTAAAATATTGTTTGATAAAATAATTTTGCACCCGTCCTTTAATGGAACACTATATCTTTACGATATCGCCGTTTTGCTTCTTAATAAACCTATCGAACTTTCAGCAAATATTCAACCAGCACCTTTAGTTATAGTTGGTCCGCGATTTACTTCTGGTTATGCCATTATTGTCGGTTGGGGTGACATTGAAAAAGGTAATTTTGTTTGTTTATTTTTATTTACAAATAGTTAAATCTTTAAAGTTATTGAAAAGAAAATAAAACAATTTTGCAATATATTTAATTATACAAGTGTTTAATGTTAATTATATAATACAGTAGACTCCCTCTATAACACTGTTGATAATTCCGTGTTATATAAATTCCATGTTGTACGAGTCACTTAGATTTTACAAATACGTGTGCCGGGCCAAGATTTGTAAAATCTAAGTGACTGGTACAACATGGAATTTATATAACACGGAATTATCAACAGTGTTATAGGAGGATCTACTGTAACAACATTAAAAAATATGTCTGTGTTAATGTTTAATACAAGATGAAGTAAAGAATACGGCAATTATTTTCACTTATATAAACTTAATAATTCAACATGAATGAAAGAAACAGTTTTTTAATGTAATTTAGATAATGAAACTGCGTATCTTCACTCGGCAGAAGTACGGTTAGTGAATCCAAAACGTAAATGGATGAATTCCCCCGGTATTAAAACAACTGGTCAAGAAATACTGACGGCAACACCCGGAGTGGCTTTACTGAATGTAAAACGTTTACGTTCTTTGACGGTGATGACGTGCATTTTTCTAATTAATAAATTAATTATATTTGTTTATAGGGAGATTCTGGTTCACCGTTGATAAAGTACGATTATTCGGGTCAACACGTTGTCATTGGCGTTCTGAGTGGAAGTTACGCTGTCGCTAACGACGCTTTTATTTACATGTCAACCAGTGTTCATCACGATTTCATAGCCAGCAACTGCCGTGGAGTCATCGTATATCATGTTTTCAACGGTTGAGATTGTTAATTTAAAAATTGACTATTCTAAATACGTAAACTCCAACTGCAATTGCTTTTTACCTTAGCAGTAAAAAACAATCCTTTTCTTGTATTCTAAATGTTGAGAGGAAAACATTTCCTCAGTGTAGTAAATCGAATTTAAGTTATGTAATTATTTCCTCATAAATAAATTAAAAATATGTATTTGTTTTTATAAATAACGTGTTTCTAATAGCGTGTCAGAATGAATGATTATATTTTCGCCTACAATTATGTTTCGATTATTAATAACGCTACCAAAATATGAACAGATCAACATTAAGGGAGGCAAAATAAAGGAAGTTTATTGATATTTTTTAATCTAGTAAATGTACGCATATAATATAAAGTTCCAATTTACAGTTTCTATTGGGGCACAGAATCAAGAGTACACACAGACTACAGAATTAAAATTTTTGTTTATAATTGTAATAAGATATTTTTTAATCACATATTATGTGATATTAAAAAATCTAGCAACGAGAGTCACGTAACTTTATTAAAAAATAATATAATCGCGTGTGGCATCATCTGTTATAAAAACTTTTTATAGCAAAATCTAATAGTTTTAGTTAATATAAAACGGCAAAAAGCTTAATTTTCAGAGTAGGGGTGAGTGTTATAGAAAAAAAATGTGTAAAGGAGGATTTTATTCGTTACTAAGAAATAAACGAAGTGAAGATTTCTTTTTAGAAATGCCTAGTGTACAGTGAAAAACAACAACAGTAAAAAACAAATAAACAAATAACAGAGCATTACGTTCAATGAATTGTGTAAACAAAATTATTTTATTAGTCATGATATACAATAGAAATATTTCTAAAGTTGTACAAAAATATTCGAGTGAAACCTGAGAAAAATAGATTAGTACCGACAAGTGTTATCTTCGTGTATTTATTTGATTCTCATTATATAATAATTTATTTGCAAAACTAGATTAGGTGTTGGTTGAAAACCTTAACGCATTATACAGAATGTACAGAAGGTACTGTACGTATGTATGCTAGCGTATGTACTGTACGTACAGTAATTGTGCGTGATATTTTGTAAATTACTTTCTAAATTTAAAATTTCTCTGGTATTTGAAGTTTCAAATTTTGAAATTTGGTCGGAACAGCTATTCAAAATTTTTAATTNCCTTGCAAATGCTTTTATAGATATAATTAATAGGCTATGTCGATGCCCACAGAGCAAATACAAAGTGATGTGGAGTTTCATTCACTGTACACTGTATTTATTTACTCGACTGAATCTATAATCAGAAAAATTATAAATTACAGATTCGGATTATTATTCTTCCTCCTAAATGTTATATATGCCCTGTCAGTTTATGAGAGAAATGAACCCAAATCAGGTAGAAGAGAAAACATTGTATTTTTCAGATAATAATTCCATATTTATGAAATAATTTAATACACTTTTAGGAAGACAACGGAGGATTGTTGGAGGTAAAATTGCTAATGATGGAGAATTTCCATATATGGTATGTTTACTCATCTCAACTTTTATTAAAGATCAGATATAATTTACCTTATAGATACTAGATATAAAATTATTTAATTTAGGTAGCATTGTTCAGGAAATCACGTAACATTGACGAATTTCGTGCGGGTTCTACATTAATATCAACACAAACAGTACTTACGGCAGCACACTGTATATCCGGGTACGTTCATTTCAATTTTTTTGAACTCTTTAGACAAAAATCTAATTTGATCCGAATTCGGACTCTGGGAACTTTGAAACGTCAAAAAATGCAAAAATTTTGGGGTTCTGCCCGTATGTAGGGATGTATGACTGTGTTTGTGTGTGTAGGGGTTTTGTTTACTCTCTTTGAAGCTTAATGAAATTCATTTTTTCGTGCAATGATTATAATTAATTATTTAAATTAATACAATTAATGATTTAAAATGAGATTTGATAAAATTTATATATACATATTGTTTACGTAAAAAATAATTTATTTTACATTAGTGTTGGTATTGGAGATTTATATGGAAGAGTCGGTAACGTTAGTAAAAACCTGGGACGTAAAATATTGTTTGATAGAAAAATTTTGCACCCGTCCTATAATAAAACAAAATTTCTTTATGATATCGCCGTTTTGCTTCTTGATAAACCTATCGAACTTTCACCAAATATTCAACCAGCAGCTTTAGCCGCAGTTGGTCTGCGATTTACTTCTGGTTATGCCGTTTTTGTCGGTTGGGGTGACATTGCAAAAAGTAGGTTTATTTGTTTATTTTTATTTACAAATAGTTAAATCTTTAGTCATTGAAAAGAAAATAAAACAATTTTGTAATATATTTAAATATACAAGTGTTTAATGTTAATTATTTAATAACAACATTAAAAAATATATCTGTGTTATTATTTAATACAAGATGAAGTAAAAAATAACGACAATTATTTTCACGTATATAAACTTCATTGATAAATGATTCAACATGAATGAAAAAAACAGTTTTTTAATGTAATTCAGATAAAAAAACTGCGTATTTGCACTCGGCAGAAGTACAGTTAGTGAATCCAGAAAAACGTGGATGGATGAATTCCCCTGGTATTAAAACAACTGGTCAAGAAATACTGACAGCAACACCCGGAGTGGCTTTACTGAATGTAAAACGATTACGTTTTTCGCCGGTGATGATGTACATTTTTCTAATTAATAAAGTAATTATATTTGTTTATAGGNATAACATAATATAAGAATAAAAATAATATAATAGAATTCTAAACAAAAATGTTAATTTTGTAGTTTGTGTGTAATCTTGATTTCTTAAGTAATAATAGTATACGGCTGTATTTAGTACGGATACTCCGTTCTTTAAAGGCTCTATTGTGTCCATACCGTACTTATAAAAAAAACAAGGAAAATGCCGGTAAAATAATCAACTCTGTCATGCTATTAAAAACACGTTATTTATAAAAACAAATACATATTTTTAATTTATTTATGAGGAAATAATTACATAACTGAAATTCAATTTATTACACTGACAAAACGTTTTCCTCTCAACATTTACAATACAAAAAAAAGGATTGTTTTCTACTGTGATTGCAGTTGGAGTTTACATAATTAGAATAGTCAATTTTTAAATTAAAACATGATATACAAGAACTCCACGACTGTTGTTGGCTATGAAATCGTGATAAACACTAGTTGACATGTAAACATCAGCTTTATTAACAGCATTGTGACCTCCACTCGAGACGCCAATAACAACGTGTTGACCCGAATTATCTTTAATTATCAACGGTGAACCAGAATCACCCTATATATAAATATAGTTAATTTATTAATTAGAAAAATGTACATCATCACCGTCGAAGAACTTAATCCTTTTACCCTCATTGAAGCTACTCCAGGTGTTACTGTCATTATTTCTTTTCCAGTTATTTTATAACGAGGATTAGTTATCCATCCATCTTTTGGATCCACTAAATTTACTTCTGCCCAGCGGAGAAATGCATTTCTGTGTTCTTCACCTGAATTACATTTAAATAAAACTGTTCCTTTGATTACCGTTACTGTGTTGAATGATTAATTAATGAATTATAATTCAAGTTTATAAAAGTGTATTTTCTATTTCATCTTGTATTAAGCATAAATACAGACATTTTTTTCTGGTTGACTACACCTATAACACTATACTTGTGGAACTCAAAATCACGTAGTGTTTATGGCACGGGTACCACGACCAATGTTATAGTGTTATAGGTGTAGTCTATATTACTGTATTAAATAATTTACGTTAAACACTTGTATATTTAAATATATTGCAGAATTATTTTATTTTTTTTCTTCGATAACTTTCAACTATTTGTAAATAAAAATAAAGAAACAAACTTACCTGGTCCAGTTCTCCCCCAACCGATAACAATGGCATTACCAGAAGTGAATCGCTGATTTATTCCAGCTAAAGCTGTTGGTTGAACATTTAATAAATTTTGAATAGGACAATTAAGAAGCAAAATAGCGATATCGTGAAGAAATCTTGTTCCATTATATGATGGATGCAAAATTTTTCTATCAAACAATATTTTATGTCCTTTGAATTTATTAACGTTACCGACTCTTCCAGATAAATCTCGAATATCAACTCTAATGTAAAATAAATTATTTTATACATGAATATTAAAACAAATAAATAGATACGATTTTAAAGCGGATTGTAACGTAACCTCTTTGGTTATTCGCGCGATCTCCTGCAGATATGGTTAAAATATAATAGTTTTTCAATGGGAAACCTTTTCAAAACTTCTCGAAACAGTAGCTATAACTTAACAGATAATAGAAGAATCCTCCCCCACACAATCATCCATACAGAAAGAAAGAACCCCCAAAGTTTTACGTTTCTCGATGTTTCAAACTCCCCAGAGTCCGTAAATGTAATAACCTTCGTAGAGAGGGTATTTTTGACCGTTTGCCGTATTTTTCCTCTGTTATGTATATTGTTTGTTTTATTAAGTTATGGCAACGCAACATTTGGGTGACCGCTTAGGGGGGATACATTCCGGGAGGTCTTTTTAAGGGTAGCTGTCCCCTATTCAGGCGTTACGGACGTGGAGAAAACTTAGAAAACTCCACGTGGCCAGCTTGTTCTGGCGAAGCTCGAACCCCAGTGTTCAGGGAACAGCTTGGCCACTGGTGAGCTCTGTTATACATAACAGGTAGTATGGATGTAGCCGAAAAGAATAAAGCAATAAAAATATTTTAGTCTCAAAACGAATTTCCTAAATTTAAAAATCTACTTTAAGAATTTTTCATAATCGTTTCTAACTAAGGGAGTTCAACAACTAATAAAAGAACGTTTGTGTTTGAAAACTTTAAATGCTCTTAATGTTATAGAGATAAAACGAATTGTGGTCCGAATTTGTGTACTTCGTATAAGTTTACCTGATTAAACCGAAGAAATAAATTGTAGCTAATAGTGGTTGGTNGCTTTTATTTACATGTCAACTAGTGTTTATCACGATTTCATAGCCAGGAACAGTCGTGGAACCCTCGTATATCATGTTTTCAAAGGTTGAGATTGTTAATTTAAAAATTGACTATTATATGTAAAGCAATTACAACTGCAATTACTGTTTACCTTAGCGGTAAAAAATAATTACTATTAAAGTATCTATAATTGTTCGAAAGACTTTATGAATGGTATCCTTTTTTGTATTCTAAATGTTGAGAGGAAAACGTTTTGTCAGTGTAATAAATTGAATTTTGGTTATGTAATTATTTCCTCATAAATAAATTGAAACTATGTATTTGTTTTACAAATCACGTGTTTCTAATAGCGTGTCAGAATGGATGATTTATTTCTCTCCTACGATTATATTTCGATTATTAATAACGGTACCAAAATATGAACAGATTAGCATTAAGCGAGGCAAAATAAAGGAAATTTATTGATATTTTTCAATGTAGTAAATGTACGCATATAATATAAACTTCCAATTTACAGTTTCTATTGGGACACAGAATCAAGAGTACACGCAGACTAAAGCTATTATGACAACCTTCTAGTAATACCATCTCTCCGGAAGATTTTTGGAAAAATATAAAAAATTACGTTTTAATATAAGAAAACAGAAAGATGACGTTAAAATAAAATTACTGCTGGTTAACGGAAATCTACGAAAAAACAGGAAATTATAAACGAAACTTTTGTAGAACATCTTAACTGTGCGTGAATCAATCTTTAAAGCTAAATTCGTTTAAGAGAATACTAAATTCTTTAGTACTAAGAGAAACAACTGCAAACGAAATCTATTACACTATAATGAACTTAAAAACTCGTACTCCTCACATAGATAATTTAAATATGTACATAAAACAATTGCAGATATCATCGCTACAATTTCACCCTTTCTGACAAATTAATCCTTCGAAAAAGAAACATTTCCGAATAAATTAAATTATAATATGGTCATAGTGATACATAAAAATAAAGAATCAAAGATGAACATACACAATTACCGTCAGAATATTATCATCCCCGTGCTAATAAAAATAATAAAATAAATCTATAAAAATGTCATGCTGATAAGCAAAGCTTTCCTTTGTTATACGGTTGCAAACAATAAACTCCAATCATCTATAATATAATCGAGACGGGTTGATGATAATAATAATAATAATAATAAGTGCAGAGCCCAAACGGTCAGGAGTTGGAAGCTGAAATTTGGTACACAGTTAGGGTACGTCACGAAAACGCACACTAAGAAGGGATTTTTCGAAATGCCCTCCTGGGGGGAGAGGGACAGGATTAAGCTTAACACTTCCATCAACAATAGAAGTGTTAAATAACAATGGCGGTGTTAGGTAACAATGGAAGTGTTAAGTAACAATGGAAGTTTTAAGTAACAATGGTGTTGTTAAGAGAAAGCGACGTGCAAGATTTACAGGCGCAGATGCAGTTCTTTCGTTTTTGCGGGAAATCGAACATATTTTTAGAACCATCTAAAAGTTCTCTAATTAATCTGAAAACAAGGGGACTCAATTCTTGCATTCTGTGAAAACGGGTAAGGTTGACTGTAACGTAATAATCTTTATCTTAGTTATCGTTACTTTTGCCCGAGCAACGCCGGGCCCACCTGCTAGTATCTTAATAATTTTTAGCCATTTGTACGACCATTTTTATCATCCAGTTTTATTTATTCACAGTAAAAAAGCCACCTAAATCATATCTTCCCATTCAGTCACAGCGAGGGACAATATAGCGTCCACTCCCGTCGGAACATCGCTCCGTTCAGCGCAGCGAGGGTCGATATTAAAGCTCCGACACCGGTAGCGACAGTACTCTGTTTAAACTATAAAGTAGAATAAAATGACTCACATTATTAATTGTATTTTGACCTTTCTCCAATTTGCCAATTTTGTAGTAACTGTGTTCGTATTTTGCTGCCGTCATTTTCGAAATCCTGGGAAATTTGTTTTCATTGGAATTTTTCGAATTCCTCATTTCTGTTGTGGGTTTTTGTTTTCTTTCATTATTTCTTCTTAATTTTTATTCTAAACTTTTCAAAAAAACATAGAATTGAATGATTTTAATTAATGAAAAATTTTGAAGAACGATTCCACGAGGACGAGTTCAACAATGGTTTAATTTCATTGTTGATCTGTTAACAATTGTTTAAATATTGCATTGTTGTAATGACGTCACGAATGACGTCCACAGGCGTTTAGTCTTATAATTCGTACAAAATTTAGATATTTGAAAAATAAAATATTATATTTTATTTATGGAAGTTTAAATGACACAGATAACTTTATAGAGATCGGTATTTATTGTTAATCGCTATCCGGGTTTTGTCAGACCTATTGTAAAGTTTATCGTGGAAGCTGAATATTAATGTTTCCTGTAATTTGTTGGTTTTTTGGAAATGAAAAGGATAACATTAATTGTTTGTGGAATTCTCGATTGTGTTGATTCCGTTCTCATAATGGTTTTAAACACTAGAAGTAGACGTCCGAATGGCCGGGCTAAACAGGTGGCAGCCTACCGTTCTGGGGGATCCGTGATCGTATCGGGACTAGGTCAAAAAATCCCCAAAAATTTTTTGCGGTAGTCCGTTCGAATATGTCGGTTCCTGCCTCTCACTACCGGCAGCCCCTTGTGGCTAGGCCCACAATGGGGCTGCCGGTAGTGAGGGGCATCATGTCCATTATGGGCACAAACCCATAATGGACTTGATGAAAAAGGCCCTCTTAGTGTCCTCGGAGCAGAAAGAGTTTTAAAAAAAACACTAGGAGTCATCATCCTCTCTCAATTCACTACCCTATATTCATAATTTATATTGATTCTACTTTCTCTGTGACAGAAGAGAATATCGTGACAATTTTGAGTTATTTTTTCTATGCCTAGAAGATATTGGTTCTGTGATTTGGTTAGTATTTTAAATCATTAAATTGTGTAACGTTGTCTGACGAAAACATGGCTTTTTCTAGCAAGCCCATTATGGGTTTGGTCAGGCCCACAACGGGGAGGCAGGGGTGGCGAGGGACGGGCCCGGCGTTTCAAAACAGACCTCTCCCCGAAGAATTCCTGGAAATTTTCGACCCGTCCGGATTCGATACTGGGTGCCCCAAAGCGATAGGCTGCCACCTTAACCACTCGGCATCCAATTGTCTATAAATGTGACTAAAGTCTGAAACTATCAAACTTAAATAAAGTTAAAAAATTATGATCGTAATATTTAAACTTCACGCAATTTTAATTTGGCATTAAGGATTTTATACGAAAAACACCCAAAACGTACTAAACTGGACAATAAAGTTTTATGATTAATGTTTTGTTTCATTCCTATTCCCATTTGTCGCAGGTATATCTCTCCCGTATAGCAAGGTCTAACTAACTCATACTCCCATAGTGAAACGGGATATATAGACCATTCGTATATTGTTTTGTTAATTAATAACAAATTTGTTTATGTGTCTTTTACATTTACACTATTACTTATTATTAGCAAATGTTACCAGCATACTATAGTATAATTTATTCATCGGGTATTGCTATAAATAAGAAAAATACAGCAAATTTTAGAAAGATGGCCAATGATATGTAGAACCGTTATATGAAATATTTTATTTTCATACTATCTGAAAATAATGAAAAATGGTTACATTAATTATTACATTTAATGGTTTTAGTAACACAATATCGGAAACAATACACACACGCGGTGACATTGCACAAAATTCGAAATGTTTTCATCATATCGTAAAAATACAGAATAAAAAGTAAACACGTCATTTCTATTGTATTTGTACGTGGTAGGATAGAAAAGTTCGAGGACGGCTTATAGATAATGCTTTGAGTAGTTTAAATCACCTTCGAAGCAATCCTCTTAGTCGACGATACATCGTTTTCCAGCGCTGGTACAGCTTTACTGTAAGCCTTCCTTTCAACTGCATGTTTCACGTCACACTGATTTTACCTCATTTGATAACTGAAAACGACCTGAAATCGTTTCCATATTTTTGAGTCATCGTGTCTTTCATATTTTATTTTTTTCACGTTATTAATAATGAGTCACTTATCACTAAGTATAGGAAACTTAAAACGAATAGGCTTACGAAACTTATATACCAGGTATATTAAGTAA